GTGTAAAATCTATAAAAGGAAGAACATATTGGTTTGTACTTCGGCAAAGAAAAGAACACTAACAAGAGCATTTTTTTTTGTAACACAAAAGCCGAAACTGACAGACAAAAACTGCAGAGTGCTGAGCCCTCATTTTCCAATTTCACAAAATCTGCGTATGGCCGCATTGATAACTGATTGACATCGTCGACACCTGGAAAAGAAAAGTTGTAGGGTAAACTGCTGGTGGATCTGCACCTAGTTTCTTAATAGTTATTGCTCAAATTCATGTAACGTGTAGGGCTGGTCAGTTCTCGCTGAGAGAGGTCTGAATCCAGGAACATTACGTAAGGACGCAGTCTGTTCTGGAGATGACTGCAGCGGATGAGCCGGGTTTGTCTCTGCGTTGTGATCCGAGGCCTGTCACTTCTCGATCGATCTTTCGAGAGTTCCAGACGACCCGACCTGTGCCCACAAACGTCCAATGCTGTTTCTGTGGATGCTGAGCCTTTGAGTCACATCTCGCTGCGTACTTCCAGCCTGCAGCGTCAGTGAGTGAGTGAGGGGGGAGGGGGTGTACGTGTGTGTGTGTGTGTGTATGTGTGTGTGTGTGTGTGTGTATGTGTGTGTGTGTGTGTGTATGTGCGTGTGTGTATGTGTGTGTGTGTGTGTGTGTGTGTGTGTGTATTTCTGTCTTGCAAAACACAACCTCGCTTTTATATTTGAGGTCAGGACCACAAAAACATGATACAATTTTTAATTTTTTTTGGGTGTTTTACGGCGCTGACAACTGCATAAGGTCATAAGAGAGCGCGGGACACATTAAGCATTTTCAGTTGGTTGGAAATTTTGAACTTTGCCTAGGTGGCGGCCGAGGCCTACTCATATCGATTTTAGACCACCAAGGGATCTTTAACGTGCGCAACTTGCACACGGGACCTCCGAGATTTTTCGCCCTTGTCTGAGAAAGCTAGGTGCAGGTCTTTCCTACGAAAAGATCAGTGGTGTGGCTGACAGGCAGCAGTAAGAAGAAGCCAAGGAGTAGCAGTGGAAAGGCTGCAGAAAGAGTCGGGAGCCCAGAGTAGGGGGAAAAGGAGGTGAACGGGTGGGGGCAGAAAGTGGAGATGAAAGCAGAATATTGCTAGGGAGCAGGAAAGGGGTGAATTGAGACATTTAGAGAAGAAAGTGTTTCCGTCACAACCCGGATTCGAACCCGGGATCTTTGAATGAGATGTGAACACCTTAAACTCTAGGCCACGAGGGCTCCCACATGATAAATGTCTTGTCTTGACGCGACAAAGTATAAGAGATAGTACAGATAACAGAAGGAGTAGAAGCAAAATGATCTTTTTAAAAGGTGAGATCAGCCAACAATGGTGCCCTCAAAAAAACGCATACATTTCCTCGAATATTTCTTTCAGTACTCAAAGAAAGGATGTCTGATATATCTAATCCACAGACCCGTTTCCGTCTCAAGCTTTCAAATACGTCTCTTTTCTTAGTCTGTGTGGTGGTCACTCTGTCGAGATATCAGCCCTGTAGTAAGCACCAGAACCGCTGGACAAGTGTCATAATACATCCCGCGGCACCAGTACTTAGAAATGGACAGAAGTACAAGTCTTAGTGACCACCATCGCCGGATGTTGATCTTTGTGGACATTTCGCTGAAGAGAAAAATGTTGTCAAAGCCTCTGGGCCCTACTCTGAATATAAAACATTTTTTACTTGAAAAGCTTTTGAGTTTTGAGGAAAAAGACGCACATCTACATGTACTTTAATAACGATTAACGATCATTCAGTGCTGGTCTACGAATAAAGGCTACAGACGGAATCGTGAAGAAACAGGCATAAACAAACCCCTGCTTGTTTAAGTTTAGTCTAAGCAAGGAAAAAAACGTCGACAAGTTGCACAATTTGGTGATTTTAATTGAAATTGCAACCTCGGGAAAAAAGCAAGACTGACATAAAAAAACAACAGGGGATAAAAAGAAGTGGGAGTAATTAATACCACCCTCCAACCACTTGCCAGCTTGTTTGATTTATCAGAGGCACACTGACACTATAAAGGTCATGTTGTACAGGGGAAAAGCAAGACTGGACGATTCGAACGAAAGATTCGCTCTCAAACCGATAGACAGGCAGAAAGGGAGAGAGAGAGAAGAGGAGAGAGAGAGAGAGAGAGAGAGAGAGAGAGAGAGAGAGAGAGAGAGAGAGAGAGAGAGAGAGAGAGAGAGAAGGGGGGGGGGTGAAATGGAAGATACCATGAAGAGCCTGGTGGAAAAAAAGTTGTAGAACGAGTGAAGATGTAGCTTACTTCAAGCTAACGGCAACATATTAAAGGACAATTACAGTAGAGACTCGAAAAGAGGGAGGACATTTGTGTTTCTTTTTTTTTTTGTCGACGACAATCAGGAAGGAAGTCGCCAGCACCGCCTTGATCATCCAAGGCATGAACGATGGGAGATCCAAGGCATGAACGATGGGAGAGTCTTTGTTCGATACAAAGACTGTTTTGGGAAAAAATGCGACAGGCAGACAGGAACAAAAGAGACTAGATCTAAAAGAAGAAAGGACAACGAGGAAACGATAATTGCAAACAAGTTGCACAATTTGGTGATTTTAATTGAAATTGCAAATGTGTTATGCCCTCAATGTCACTTTTGATCATTTAGGAGGCGGATTGCTTATTCTCTGCCTGTCAAGGCCAACTTGGACTGAGAGAGATACAACGTCCCAGCAGAAAGACGGAAAGACATGATAAAAATTCTCACCAGAAAATGAAACTCTTGTCAAAGAGCTAAACAGTCAACTCATAGACAGCGGTGTACAGGATGGTGATGATCAATGGCCCCTGTGCCACTAAAACATACACACCAGCACACATTGGCCAAGGGCAACGCGCTGAGGTTGAGAGCTAAAGAAATCAGTCAGTCGACTACCTTTGCAGAGCCACCCGCTCCTTTTCCATTCCCCCATCCCTCCAACCCCACCAACTGACCCATAATAAAGAAGGAGGGAAAGCAGACAAATTCAGCAATAAATAAGTACCAAAAAAACCAAAATTTAACGAGTGACCAGGGAGCTTAAGAACGTAATTTCCAATTTTAAAAAACAAACTGGGGACTGTAGTTTCGAGTAAAATAAAACAAAACTTAAAAAAAAAAAAAGAAAACCTTGAAAATCTCCATCAAAAGACTGTTAATGCCAGAGACAACCTCGACCAAAATCTATACAGAAGTATGGTGGGGGAAAGTGGAAAGGAAAACAAGAAGTGGAAAACTAATAGTTCTTTCCACCCTGCCATTTTCTTTTCAATCCAAAATTGTTCCAAGGAGTGGACTGAAAAAAAACCCTGCAACCGTGCAGCTACCAGAAAGAAAAAAAAAGATTGACAACTGAGGGTTAAAAGACAAGTCATAAAGAGCGTATTTTTTAGGATAGCCACTTCGTAATTCTAATTACGCGTGCCATCCCTCAACATTTGCATTCGCCCCTCCCATCTGCCATAATATGCTGCTTAAAATCAATATATTATTTTTTATTTCTGCCAATATAATTATAATTACCCAGCACCATTTGGGCAGCAACATGTTACATGCAACACAATTCGATCATATCTTGTTTTCCAACTCATTTAGAATGTACAGCAACATCAACATGTTAAATCAGCAACAAAAGTTATTTTCGAAATATATTTTTAACGCTTAAAAAGAGCAGCTTTACCACTACAAGCAAGTAATTGAAATTGTTTGATAATTTCTGTCCACATTTTTTTTCTTTTATATGGGTGGTAGGGTAAGGGTTGGTTTGGTTTGAAATATTTCACCCACCTCCTCCGCTAACACACCTGTTTAATTTACGATATCGTTACTAGTATACTATAATTTTAAAGTTTTGCAATTGTTTACTATTTCTGAAACAAACGAAAAAAATTGCACTCTGGGGATCGGAGTACGCTCGAAACTGGCAAACAAATTCAGTGAAAGAAACATTTTTAAAATCATAGATGATATTAACAAAGTGAAATCATTAAAGAACAATTTAAAGCTGGCCTTACTTCATGCCCTACCTGACTAGCAGACTCAGGCTTCCCTCGCCCGGATAGACGCCCCGATTTCTCTTGCCTGTACAAAAATGGCATTGGCAGAAACAAAAAGGCTTCACACGAGTGGCTGTGAAAATGACTTGGTCTGTGCTCAGGTCCATAATATTATAGTTGGTGGGATGGACTAAGCAACAGGTGGATGCTTTCATTATACAGCCTCGCTGATAATGCGAACAGATCAGGTGGAGTTTACAAAGGCAGTTGGCTTAGATTTTTAACTACTTTCTGAATTATGGAACAGATCAAAAAACGGTTTGCCTGTGTGAAGCTAGCTTATTTATGCTAAATTATCATAATGAAGAGAGCATTATCTTGGTTTCCTTTTTTCGGGCAACAGTTATGAACATTGTAAGTTTCCACGATTACTTGATCTCTCCTTTGTGCTGGTTTAATGGTATCAGTTGGTGTAAAGAACAATATACCTCTAAAAGATTTAGGAAGTGACGGCAAACGTACTTTCTTTAATGCTTTTGTTACTTTCTCTGTCTTTACTCTAGCCGGCTGTTGCTTACAAGGGTTGACATCTATCCTTTAACCAGTCCTTCGCAATAATGGAAGAGAAGTCAATGCATTTGTTTTACCTTTACTTATTCATTTTATGGACAACATTGTGAGTACTATCATTATGATTACACTTGTGAAAAGAATTGATTTTAAAATCAAAGATCGGTATTGTTAAAAAAAACCCACATAAATATACAAACGCCCGCATATTATAAGAAATATACCGTTGTGTTTTAGTAGATCCTATTTTGTGTTTTGCTTTGGGTTTTTTATTTTTATTTTCATTTTTATTTTTATTATTATTTTTGTTTTGTTTACCTCAATTTGATATTTCAACAGGAAAGGGCAAGCAACACACTCTGCTGACACAAACAGAAAGAAAAATGGATAATTAATTTGACTTACACAGAAATAAGTCGACACAATATAGGTAATTTATTTCCTCGACAAAAGTTTACATAGAGAGAAACAAAAGGCAGACAATAAATAAGTAGGACCTCCTAATGACGCCATCCAGACACCTGCACATCTAACAGCCAGAGAGACATGCTGGAAGACTGAATGGGAGTATCTATGGCAGGAGATAGGAAATAAATTAATAGAACAGGCGCACTTAAGACAAAATGACTCTACCCCAGAACCAGTCTAAAAAGCAGCTAAACAAAAAAAGCTTCTTAATGTGCAAAATAAATGCATATTTCACTGTACATATCTAGGTGTTTTCCATGTGTTACATTTTTTTAGCTTTAGGTAAAAGTAACCTCACCCCTCCCCTTAATACTTAATAAGTTAAAAGCGTCTTTTACGCATGAATTCATGGTGACCTAACTTCAGTCCCAACAAGAGTGGAGACCTCGGTCAGCAAGTATGTTCCGAATGGAGGGTTAACATTTACCTTTACTCAAGGTTATGATAATGGTCCACAGCTTCACTTAGATATGCCTGACCAAAAGCTCACTGTGAACACGCAATAAGCAAGACAACCTCTGTCGTTAAGATCTTAAGTTGCCCGCAAACCAAAAGATACCACGAACCAGCTGAAAATGAAAACCAAACGAAAGACATTCCACCAAGCCTGAAAGATTTGCCCATCATATGACAGATAGGTAGATGAGCACTATCGATACAGTTTGGTAATGATGGAGATGATGAACAAGACTACAGTTACGATGATGATGATGATGATGATGATGATGATGATGATGATGATGATGATGATGA